AGCCACAGCAATGGCTGTGAATCTGAAAGGGAGGGTGGGAACTCTGGGCCTGTTACCAGGGAAATGCCCCCTGCTTGGGGAATGTTTTTCTAAACGTTGTGCCTCCATTTTCCTGCCTGTAAACCCACTGATGGAATTGTGTCGCTGCATGTCATGTCATGGTAGGCCGACCGGAAGTTGTTGGTAAAGTTCTGTTGCTACAGAAGGCCTGCTTCCCGGAGCCCACGCCCTCGCTGCATCAACACTGGCTTCAGAAGGCACGGCTCCCATGCTGGCCTTGTCACTCATTAGTCATTGTCATTTGTCTGTGACCTTGGATACATTTCTGGACCTCTGGGACCAGAGGGTGGCATGATGGTTAAGGCAGTTGGATCCCGCATGGCTGACTGTGTGGTTTGAGTCCTGGACCTGAGGGCTTGATAAACATGCCAGGCACGTGTGTGTGCATGCCCAAAAGCCCAAGAGGAGAATGGAGGAGAAAGGACTGTGGCATGGCCATCCCCCTGGGGAGTGATTTCTCTCTCTCTCATGCCGAGCGCATGTGCCCTGCAGCAAACTAAAAAGAGAGAGAGAGAAAGAAATTTCAGAACTCTCTTTTGCATGTCCGTTGCAAAATGAGGGTGATGATACCTACTCTGCCTCACTCCTAGGGCCACTGGGAAGACCGACTTGATGAATAGAAGCCTTTAACAGGTGCAAAGGTCACCATGCAAACCAAGTAAGGGGAAGCTGGGTCCTTCTCGCCTGGAGCTTGTGGTCTCCATAATAATGTTGGCTGAGGTTGCAGGGCATTTCCTGTTTCTAACAGGGCCCTGGGTTACTTTAGCTGGTAATGCCATCAACAAGGACAGTGGGGGGAGGGGGGCAGTGTGCTCTGGGACAGCTGGAGGGGCCAGGTGTGCTCTGGGACAGTTGGAGGGAAGAGGTGGAGGGGACAAGTGTGCTTTGATAGGGTTGAGCCATCACAAAGGCTGTGCTTGAAGGAAAGAAGGGACTGCAGTGGTGGTGAGCGAAGGCAGTCAGGGATGAGGGGCAGCTCCCCCTGACCAAGGGTGAGGTTCAGGTTTAGTTTGGAGGGCTCCCTCTCTCAGCCATGGCTGTGCCCGAGGCTCAAATTTAATCTCAGAGGATTTTAGGGCCAGAATCTGTCGTGGGTGACACAAAGTGGCTGCAGTGTGTGGGAAGAGGGAGCTGGTGGCCTCTCTTCTCCTTAAAGGGCATACAGTTAATTCTGAGTACCAATGATAGACGTAAGGGGCGGCCCACCTCACAGACCCTTCCTTTCCCCAAAATGCCCATGGAATCTCTGGCTCCTTGGGGATCTCGTATTTTCAAGTTGGCCTCCCACTGAAGGGTTGTGTCCCAGCTTCCTTTTCCCCCAAATACCTGAGACCCCAACAGGCAGGTTTCTTGAACGCTGTAATTATCGGATCTCTGAGAAGCACTGGGCTTGGAGGGGGCTGGAGGCAGACACCACCTCCAGGAGCCCGCTCCTCTCCGACCCTGACGTCTGGAGTCACAGCCCACCCCATTGGCTTCCCCAGCCTGAGCCTGAGCCAGACGAGACATCCTACCCTTGCCAGGCCCGACACCTGGTAGTAGGGGTTTCTCCTTCCTGTGCCACGTCCGGAGTTAAATTCGGGACACTGCCGAGTAATCCCCGGGACAGCCAGCGGCGGATGTGAGGAGTCAGGAATGGCTGGTATTCCGGGGAAAGACCTTTACAGCCAGCCTGGCTTCTGGGCCATGGTCTCGCTCCTGGAACAAGACGCACTGCCCTCAGTTTCTCCACCTCTCGGACATGGTGAAACGTGTAGTGTCCGACCCATGTGGGCACGGTGGGCCCACGGCTGCCTGTCACCTTTGACATCTTGCCAATTGCTGGGAATTCCTGTGGCCTTCAGGGTGTGATGTCCCCTCAGCTCGTGGACACTGTGATATGGACCTTTGTCTTGACACAGGAGCTGGGTATCCACTCCCAAAAAGAAACTGGGCTCAGAGGGGCAGCAAGGACGGGCCATCGGCCTGTGGCTCTGTGATGTCCTTGGCTGCCCCTGGGCTGGGGGCAGCTCCTCACTGAAGAGGCTGCTGCACTGGCTGGGGGGGTGGAGGGGCACTGCACCAGGCACCCTTGCAGGGTGGATCGATCTGGGGCCCCTCTCCCGCGGTGCCTGGGTGTGGAGGGTGAGTGGGTCAGCACGTCTGGGGGCCTATCAGGACCGACCCAGTCTTCTTAGACTCCATGGCCTGGGGACATGCTAAGGCCAGGAAGCAGAACTGAGGCAGCCCCAGATGTGAGGGACACACCGGACTGGGGGCTCTGAGGGAGGCCGAGCCGGCTGGGAACCCTCCTCTCCTTTCTTTCTCTCTTTAGGACAGGGCTGTGGTCCCCGCAGGGCCGCACAGGGCTGTCTCTTCCCCTGTGTGTCCTGTGTCGATTCTCTGTCCTTGGTGTGTCTGCCTGGTGCCCTCACTTCATTCCACAGGAGAGCTGGCCTCTCTTCTCAGCGTGACATTTTGGAAGCAGCCTCTAGGACTTTCCTCTATGCCCAGACTCCTGTGTCCCCAGCACCCCAAATAATTAAAAGGAAGTGTCCTGTTCAGAGGCAGAGGTTCCACTGGGAAGTCCCCTACTTTCCCCCAACGCTGTATGTCGGGTGACCCCGGGAGAGGGAAGCCTGAATTCGTTGCCGCCCCCGCCTCCCAGGACTGCACCCACAGATTCCCTCCTCCCCCGCCCCCACAAGGAAAAAGGAGGGCGTTCCACCAATGAGAGCTGGCCGGCCCCTCGCGGCCCTGGGAAAGTTGGGTTCCTGCTCTGGTTTCATTAGGCTGATTGGAGCAGCCTTTGCCTGGCGGCGAGTCCCTCCCCGAGCTCCGCGTGCAGTCACTCTAGCTGTCGCCGCCCGTGCCAGCCCTCCTGGACAGTCGCCCCTCCCGGCCCGGCTCCTCCTGCTTTTTTTTGTTTTGATCCGGTGTCACGCTTCCTCTCTCTCTCTCTCTCTTTCTCTCTCCCTCTCCCTCCCACCACCGCCTCCTCCCGCCCTCCGCCTCCCTGCAGCGCCAAGCGGGCTCCCC